AGAACCACCCAACATGGAGCTCCTTATATTACATGTTACTCTACGAAATTAAAATGAAAGAGTTAGACTTAATTGATTAAAAGACCAACCTCAAGCCAGTTTAATGTGGGTCTCCTTATCACACGTTAGTCCAATATGAAATAGTTGGTCTTAATTGATCAAAGAACCACCTTTAAGTCTGTCTAATGCGGATCTCCTTATCACACACTATTTCATATAATTATTATTCGATTGTAATATTGTATGGGTCTTAAAAATCTCTACATATTCAAACTATTGATAAATTCAATTTATCAATATATATATTATGTTCATTAACATTAATTTTCACACTCAAGATTAGACGAATTCAATCCCACCTCTTAACGAGGGTGGTGTCAATGGTAACTTGGCTTTATTTTAAAATCATGCGATAATTTCTTTTCACTTGAGCTTTATAATAGTGTAATTTCAATTATTACAAAACTTAAATGATCTTAATAAAATAAAGGGAACATTAGTGAAATATCACTCTCTAATTTTGTGTAGTATGAGAGATCCAAGATTTTTTTTTTTATCAGCTAAGGTCTCTCAACATTTTCACAGAGAAAATTCAATTCAGAGAAATTTTACCCGACTCAGAAAAATTTTGCCCGATTTAGAGAAATTTCGGTCCCAACTCAAAGAAATTTAATTTCTATGATTTCATAGAGAAATTTTGAAATTTCTTTGGTATGATCACAGAGAAAATTTCTCTGTGAAAATTGAAATTTCTCTAAGTTGGACAAAATTTCTCTAAGTCGAATTTTCTCTGTGAAAATATAGAGGGACCTTAACTATTATAAAAATATTGTATGTCATTTATCTTATAAAATCTTAATATTAGGAACCTTAAATAGTTTTTTCTTTTTTTATATATTTAAATAAATTTTAATAATTATATGTATGATCAAAATTTAAATGCATAATCTTTTCATCTAAAATTATTATTTTTTAAATGCATGAGAGCCCCATAGTAAGAGTTCTCTTTAGGCCCCTTAGGCCACAAGCAACACCTCAGCCACCACTTCCAAAGGCCATCTCCGGCCACGCCACTTACCACTGTTAACCACCATCTCCAACAATTTATCAAACATACTTCTTTATTTTTATTTTCATTTTTTAAAAAAAAAATATTTGTGAGTGGTATCATTCTCCTATAATCCTTGAGAATGTAAATTTTGACTCCCAAGAGTTTCCATGAAAACACAGAAAAATTGTTTAGCAAACTGTTTTAGGTAAATTTTAACCCACTATTTAGAAAACATATGAAAACAATAGGTTTGAAATATTTCATAATGTTGCGTTTAAAAACAGAAAGAGTACCAAACATGTCTTGAAATATTTTATATAATTAAGAATCAATGAATCATTTGTGGAGAATGGGAGCTGAACCCTATCCACTAAAAATCTTGTTGAAAATAAAAAAATAAAAAATAAAAATCATGGTGACTCAACCCAACATCATAATTAAAGGGTTTAATTTTTGGAGATAGATAGGAATCTTGACTTAGGAAGTGGAATATGCATGCATGCTAGTTTTTTTCATGCAGGTCATGGATGAGGGAAAGAAAGTTCCAATTCCTATTGCTCAATTATTTACCTGCACTTGCATAATGCAAAGGTGACATATACATACATACATACATATATATATATATCTATACATACATAAATATAAAAATGATTTATAAATAAAAATTTTATACAATAATCTCACAATGAGAGTGACAGTGACAGTGGCAATTTAAAAATTATAAATTATTTTATGCTGTGTTTGGTTGGAGGATTTGGAGAGGAATTTGGAAAGGGAAAGGAAAAAGGTGTGTAAAATTAGGTGAAATATAGACATGTTTTATTCACATTTCACCTACCTTTTTCATTTTTCTTTTCAAATCTCTCCCCAAATCCCCCAACCAAACATAGCATTAATGAATCTTTTTATTTAAAACAAAAGAACACATATCTACGAACTGATTCTGTATAAATGTTCGATTTATATATCGCAATAGAGACTATCCCATAACCATATATGCTAGCCTAGTCAGCACCTCCATAATGCATAATGCATATGTTGCATCACTTAGACCTTATGGGTCACAAAAAGGCTAAGTGATCGATCCTCAGCCTACTACACCTATATTCCCGCGAAAGTTGGACTTTAATGTGACATATTTGACAAATGTGCTTAAAAAACGGATTCTCAATTTAGGACTGTAAGCAAAGCTAAAAGGTCTTACTTATTGGCTAATTTAACCATTTAATTAACAAAGTTAGGCCTAATTAAACAAGCCCACTTACCGTAAAAAAAAAATAAAAAATAAAAAATAAAAAAATCGAACTAGCCAAATTTATTCGCTAATGTTACTAAAATTAATTTGAAATGTAGCATTAGTCTGAATTTCTACATTTCTAGGCTAATGCTACATGTCTATGCTAATTGTGATTAAGAAAAAAAAAAAAACAAATAAAAACTAGAAATGTAGCATATGGTAAAAGAGTAATGATTTAATGTAGCATGTGCTAGTAGTAATGCTGGAGATTCTTGAAATATTACACTTAAATTTATTTACACTGATGTCATAGGGGGTTGGATTTTAATGGTTGATTTCTAAAAAAAATCAATAATTAATATCTAATAATCCATGTCATTTGAAATAAATTTAGGAATCATGTTTTAGAAGTTTTAAATATTTTTCATAAACAGGCCGACCTCATTTCATTAAGATAGATGTTTAGTGCCGACACCAAAATATATATATATATATATAGTTGTTTGGTTGAGTTAAAAGAAAAAGAGAAAAGACAACAAAGTAAAATAGTTGTTTTACAATTATACCTTTCTTTAATTAAATTCGTAATAGTAGGCTAAAATTTGGGAGAGTAATTTTAGACTTTTTAATCCCAACTTTGGTACAAAATAAATGTGACTCACACATTCTGAAAAGTTGTGATAAAGATAATGTAAATAGTTTGATTGTTGTAACCTACTTTAGAGTAATATGAGTAGTGAACTAATCTCTCCCACTATTTGATATGTATGACAATAATTATTTTTTATGGTTGAATCCGTAAAAGATTCAAGATCCATAAAATTATTGCATGGTAGACTTTCAGTCCCTTACCATTTCTTTCCTTCTCTCATCCTTCCAACCAAATAAAGAAAAATCCTAGTCTAGTGTCCCTTTGTCGTGCGAAAAAAGACTAGTTTAGAATGATATTTAAGTAAGAAGCATGGTTAAATGTGAAATTAGTTCAATCACCTCTATAAAAAAAAAAGAAAAAAGTGATGTTTTTCACTCTAAATGGTAACCACCCCAAACCCAACATTGAAAATGAAGTGTGTTAATAAAAGGTAATATGCAATAACGAAAAGAATATGCAGATGAGGTAAGGAACATTTTTTAAAAAAAATAAAATAAAAATAACTTTGAGATGTGACTAGTGTCGCCCAATATTCGAAAGGGGTCAATATCAAAAATCCAACCCAAAATTCTTATAATGGTGGGACCCTTTTTATTGCACTCCAAACATACATTCTCAAAAAAGATTGATTATCTTAGCTTGGCTACCCCCAAAGTCCACATCACTAGGGTCTCATTTCACAAACTCCATGTCTGGTTTGTCCTCCTTTATATCACTTTTAGTTAAGGTTGAACTAATATTTATCATTAATGACCAACCTTGTTTAGTGACATTAACCAAAAACTAATTTTACACATAAATTATTATTATTTTATTAGTAGAGATAAAATAGTAAAACCCATATTGATATATGTCACTTAGGCCTTGTTTGTCATCTCTTAAAAAAGTTGAAAAGTCAAAAAGTCATTGTGCCTGTTTAGTGCAGTTTAAAAGCTGCTTATTTCAGCTTTCAGCTTAATTTAAACTATTTTGATGTGTTTGGTTTAACTTAACAATGCAACTTATAGCTTTTTGTAAGTCAGAAATCAGCTTATTTTTTGAGTGGGGCAGGAGATGCTTAATTTCTAAGTCAGAAATCAGTTTATGTTCATAGTTATAAGGTATAAGCTGTTAAAGTATAAACTATAAGTACTTTCTCACAGCTCTACCAAACATGGCCATTATCCTATTTAAATCATATCAACTTATTTAAGTCACATCACCTCTCTATCATATCATTTCAAACTCAATCCATACCCAACCCATATTTCATAAAAAGTCAAAAAATATACTTATTTAGAACATTCCAAACAACCGATTACTATGTCTTTGTGTTTATTGACAAAAGAATTTTTTAAAATTTATATTTCAGGGTCTAATCCAAGTGAAAAAAATAAAATTTGGTAACATTGTTGGACCAATTATAAACTCCAAGGTCTAATCCTAATGACAATATCCTAGTTTATTCAAACTTTGTGGCTTCTAGATAATTGCAAGTCACAAGGTTTACAATATAGAGGTGGGCCAAAAGAAACCCAACTTGAAGGATTCCGCCTAACAAAAGGTATTCATTTTTAGTTTAGTAGAAGTAAATGTAAAGGGTAGTGCTATTGACATTCGCATTCTTCTTACACAAATAAACAAATAAAGTGGGGAATAAACAACTCACATGTATCTCAATATTTTATTTTCAATAATGTTACATATGCATAAATTTTATTAGAAATTTAGTTTAGAAAATTAATGTGCGCTTCAAATTTAGTCTAAGAGTAGACCCCTCATATCAGAATTAAATCTGAAACACACATGGTTTTTTTGTGGACAATTCATAATAAAAATTCTCGCTAAGTAGTTTCATTGTTTTGTTCCTTCTATGTAAGATATACTTTGTGTCACCATTTAATATGCCACAAATTAATACCTTAGAATTTCTTAAATTTTCCTTAAATATAATATCTTAGGAGACACTTCCTTTGAAATACAATACTTGACATTTCTATATAAGCTTGCTATCAGATTCCATGTTCTTACACCTTTATTTATCTATACGTTAATTTATGATTTTTGTAATAAAAATGTAGGATTCAAAAGGAATATATTACTAGAGCAAAATCAGAGGGCATCATCCCATACATCAACCACTCTGCTTTTCTCAATTTTTCATTCTCAATTTCTATTTCCATAGAATTCTTGGACTAGAAATGTAAAGCAAACTATAATTAACTAGAGTTTTTTTTTTTCCTTCCCTAATAAATTGACTACAAACAAGATTATACAATTTTACTACCAAAAGGCAATAACTTAAAAAAAAAAAAAAAAAAAAAGAGATTCAAGCGTTGCTCCTTTTCTTTCTCTTCTTCTAGGGTTCTTCAATATTCTCCATTTTTTCTTTTGATGTTTCACTACTAGCTCCAAATGAGCCACCAAGTTTTTCTCCATGACTCCATTAACCTCCCTAACAGTTCTTCATAGTCCCAACAGAATGTAGTACACAAGCGTTATCGGCAATGCGATTAACATCCCAAATATAACACTGCAATTCGAGTCAGAACAGAAAAATTAAAAATTAAATAGAAATTAAAAAAGAAGAAGAAAAAGAAGAAAAGAAAGATAAAGATGTTTGTTAGAAATTAGAAAATAGGGTCTCACCCTGTGCTGAGAATGTCAGGGTGTACATTGTATTCCTTGGCAAAGACAAAGGGGACAATTCCTTGTGGTAGAGCTGCCTGTTTTTTTGTGTTTTGTAATAATCCAAGCACATGAAAGGAGGGAATCAAAAAACAAAAAAAACGTTGAGATAAGGTTTATATGATACACAAATGCAGAATATAAATGGACAGAGATTTTTTATTTATTTAAATCAACCCACTAATCTTCTCCATTCATGTTTATTCTACGTTCGATTATGTAATCTTTTTTGTGTGACAAACAACCCATTGAATTAATTAGAGAGGTGTTTAGTTATTTATTTTCATTTTAGTAAATTACTTTGTCCAAATTTTCTTGCTATCTCCAACATGATCAAATTTCTTTCACTCCTCAAACATCTAAGTAAGGAATATTAGTTCCATAGTACAATGTTGCAGGACACAAAACGAGAAAGGGGAGATTCTTTAAAGGGGAGATTCTTTCTTGTTGTTTGTCCCAAAAAAATACAAAATAGAAGTAAGAAATAAAGAAACAATTCACATGCAAATGCAATAGACAAATATTCTATTTAGTACAATTTTGTTTACAATCAGAAGGTAAAAAATAAAAAAACCACTCACTCGATTTCTTGATAACTAATTTTTTTAAATTGATTTAAGTTATTTTTATATCACACTTAAGCAAAAATAACACTAAGTACTCAGTGACGAACTATCAAAAATATTTTTTTTAGTATAAACTCTCAAAAATATTTATAAAAAAAAAACTAAAAGTAACCCTAAAATTTACACTAATAGGACTAATATTTTGTCGGCTCTCATTTGTCATTTGCACTTCCACATACATATGTATATGAATGCTCACTACATACAAACAAAACAGAGTGGAAGAAACAAATCTTGGAGTGCACATAAGATCATCCTAAATTTACTAATAAAAAAACTTATCTGCAAAATAAAAAAAAAATAATATCAAAATCTTTTGATTAATTGGAAAGTGTTTTGTGGCTTAAGGTGTGTCAGTAGGAGGCAAGAAAACAAATACATATCTATTCAAAATTTTATTAAAATGTAGTAGTTTTGCTAGGGTTTAGATTCTCTTAAATTGGCTATTTTAATGTGAGAGTATTAAGGCTTAGTATACATATTTTAGAGCTGACCACAGTAATCCTAACTATTTATTTTTTAGCATTTATTAGGTAAAATATTTATATAAAAAATTAAAATGATTAGATATCAGTAGCTATATGATTGAATCACATTTGTATATGATTGAATCACATTTGTATTACAAAAAATAACTGTTACTCTAGAAATTATAATTGCCTTCTATTTTTATAAAATAAAATGATTCAAACATGTGACTATCAGTATCTGATTATTTTAATTTTTGTATGAATATTTTGTTTAAAGAGATCATCCAATTCAAACCCAAATTGAATTCACCAGGCCTAAACATGAGAGAATCCACTCTATATTTGTTAACAATTTCAAAATAATTAATAAAAATGTGTGAGATAATAATATATAATTATTTTAAATTCACTTAATTAATTAATATTCACAAAACATTCCTTAAAAAAAAGAGAGAGAGAATGAGGAGTGACCTGGACAATGGCAACGTGGAGGAGGACGCCGCGAAGGCCAACAGCAATGGAAGCAGCTGCCATGACAGCTGGACCTGTAAGGAATCTCACGGCCATAGCAAAAGTTGCTATGGAATTCCCACATGCTATTATCCTCGGTTGCAATGCCATGAACAGACCTGTCTCACCACACCACCACCCAATCAAATCAATTCAATGCCACCCCAGATCCCACTGTCACTCACCCCCCAGATATTTTATCAATCCCCCACCCTTTCCTTTCATCATCACCCCCACATAATATATCACATCCCAACCCTTGTCATTAAAATATGCCCTACACTACACTATATAGAGGGATAGTGAGAAAGCAGACATAATATCATGACTTATACTGTTTGTTTTACTTTGCTTTAACTAACTTTATTTTGAAATTCTTAATTATGAAAAGCAACATATAATCATTATAGAGGGTATGTGAGAGAGAGAGAGAGAGATGGGTTTTGTGAAGAACTGACCTAGACTGAACATAGCCATGCCAAGTCCTGCATCTGACAGTATTGCAATGGACTTTTGTATTATGGCAGGCATCACAACATGCCACCTGCAAATGTTAGTTAAAAATCAAATACCCCCAACAAAACAATTTCTGTTATCAATACAGAAATTGAAATTCATCATAGAATTATGGGGTGTTTGGGAAGAAAAAAAATAGTTAAATTTAGGCTAAAAATTACAAAAAGATAAAATAAGTTAAAATAGCTAATAAGACAAAATATCATATCAAATCCATAATCATTTCACTTTTTCTCTCACAAACATCACATCCAACTACAAAAAAATCCAATCATCTTCCCAAACACACAAATTTTAGCCTACTTTAAATAACCAAAAATTAAAATAGCCTATTAAAATAGTCACTTCCCAAACGAGGCCTTAGTCTGCTCTGGTTCTATGACCGTTTGTGATAAATTTTTTGTATTCTTAAACTTACTTTTTATTTATTGAGAGTAGAGGAAGAGAGAGACCTGAATGAAACTAGAGACCAAGTAAGACCAATCAAGCTGGAGTACGTGTTGGGGTTTCTGATGAGTTTCCTCCAAACCATGATCAATATGAGCCTAGTCATGACACTAGTTGGAGGCATGGCTTTGCCTCTGTTCTTGTTATCTCCAACTTTTTCACCATCATGGTTGTTCATTTCTCCTTCTAAACCTCTATTCCCAAAGCTGAATTCATCTTTCTCCAAGTAATCCTCTTGATTTTCTCTATGACCCTCCACTGATAAAAAAATTTAAAAATTTAAAATCCCATCAAAAGACAACCTTAAACCCTTAATTAATTATAACATGACATGCCACACATGCATGAATGTAAAAACAAATTGCATTTCATTTTCTTTTTCAGTTTTCATGACAAATTGTTTTAGGAAATTATTTTTTGAAAAGAACCCATTTTTATTTTTGAAAATGTGAAAACAGAAAATTAAAAACGAAAACATTAGCAAATAAATTTAGACTACCTTTTCCTGGAGATACCGCAACTCTCACTTCTTTAGAAGGCTGCTCTAAAGCTCCATAGTCATGGCCTCCAAACACATCTGAAACTGGAGAAGCACTTGAACTCCATACAAACATATGAAGATCCCTACCACCGCCCTCCTCCGTCTTCTGCTGCTGAGCCTGGCCGTTAGCCTTTTTTACAACATTCGCCCCCGGGCCCATGGCTTTTGACCCAGTGGGCGAAAACATTCCGGGATTAGGTGCCGGGTAATGTGCGTTACCCGGCGCTGTCCCGGCATGATAGTGGAACCTAGCCTTGTTAAGGCTCCCACCACCACCATCTTCCTCATAGTTCGACGGCCTAGGCGTGGGCCCTCTCGATGTCGGGAGCCCGTAAACGTCCGAAGGCCCAAAGTTTGAGTTACGGCCCCCACCACCCCCCACCATTGAGTAAAAATCGGTGTGGTTAAAACTCGACCCTCTGGGAGTAGGGTTTCTTGACGACTGCAGAGAGTAAATCTCTGCATTTGTCAGATTCGACGGTCTAGGAGTCGTCGATGACAGGCCTTGAGACCTTCTCGAGAAGATATCAGATCTCGAGGCATTTGATTTTCTCACAGTGACATGAAGCTTTCCATCTTCTTTGATCTCTGTCTCAGTCTCCAGAGCTTGTCTTCCATCCAATGACATGACATCAGAATCAACATGGATTGAGACAATCGACCCTGCAGTGTCTGGAAACTGCTCAGAGATCAACAACTTGGCTGCTCTATACTCAAACATGAAAAGCATCAAAGTGTACCAAATGATACACTGAAGAACAACTATTTGCACCATTAAACTTCCTGAGAAATCACCATACATTCCTTTAAGCAAAGGAATACCCATGACAAGAGTGTTTGGGAGAGTTGAAAGTGAAAACAGTGTGATTGTCCATTCTAAACAGCCTCTCTTGCTCACCTTACTCCACACTGCTAACACTACCAGGACTATGATTTTCTGCAGAGTATCAGCAGCGATGAATCGTAAATTCATGGTGTAAGGATTGTTGGTGGAGATGAAGTGGAAAGAGAGGAGAGGGACAGCGAAGAGGGCAACGAAGCGGTTGATGCCGGAGCACTGGTCAGGAGAGAAGATCTTCCACCATTTTACTGACCCATAAGCCAAGATCATGGCAACATAGAGTGGAACCACTGCTGTCATGACATGGTAGAAGTCTGATAGAGTGATCATGTCTGGAAATCAAGAAAATCACAAGAATGTGTGGAGGGTTAAGAGAGAGAGAGATTGAAGATTGATTGAGAATTTAAGAGATGAACAAGTGTGATATTGAAGAAGTAGGAGATGGGTGTGATGATGATGATGGATAAGCTTAGGGAAATGTAAGAGAGAGCATGTGTCTTGGTTTATGGGGTTTTGTGTGTGTGTGTGTGTGTGTGTGTGTGTGTGGGTAGTAGTAAGCAGAGAGTAGAGCAATTTTTATTTCACTATTATACAAATACAGCAGCTTTGAGAGTTGCGACCAAGCTTGCACTATTTGCAATCTCCAAAGCACAGGGTCGGTTTATTTCTAGTTAATTTTAACAGTTTTGGTACCAATACAGAAATTAATAACATAATCAAATAAAGAATATACCGAGTTGACAAGATTTTATAAGATTTTTTAATAGTATTTACATTTTAAAAAAATTATCTATTTCATGTACATTATGTATAGAGGAGGTTCGGCTTATTTCTAATTGGCTACATATCTAGAAATATTATTTAACACTTTATCCAAAATTAAATTTTATGGACAAGATTCATTTCGAGTATGGTTCACAATAGACTAACTTTAAATTTGCACCCTACACTTCATGGTAAAATTCAAATTAAGTTTTTATGGTACTTAAAAATATTCTTTTGAAAGCGTTCACAAAATTGAACACAGAATATACATAAATCAATAAGATTTAATAAAATTTATTAGTAGAGTCAAACTTTTCATATATATTCTTTATCTAATTTTGTGATTAATTTCTATAGATTTTTTTTTGTGCTCTTAGATTTATTCTAATATGACTATTGGCATTATGAATTTTTTGTGTTTTGTATTTTTCCTATTTGTTTTGTGCTTTGTTTGGATTGATGGATGGATAGATAGATAGAAGAGATGGGTGTAAATAAATAGATATAAATTGGTAAGTTGGCTCTATCTTCAATGGATTAATGTTTGGGGGTGGGTGGGTGGTGTTGGGGTGTTTGTAATAAAGTGTGTGTTTGTGTATGGAAAAGCAAATTGGTTGGAGGGTGGTGTGTGTGTGTCCGCAAGTATTTGTTTGAAGAGCTTTTCCAACCCTTTGCCAAAACCTTCTTTCTTGCCCTCTCCTTTTCTCTTTCTTTTCTTTTCTTTCTTGGATTCGCTTTTTAGCTCATGGGCTGTTGATGGACTGTGTCTGTGCCTGTATATGTATGCATCATTCCCCTTTTCTTCTTTTTTCTGTTTTGCTACATAACATAGCATATGGCATATCATTTATTGATATATGTTTATATAATATACAAAAAAATGTTTATCTAATTTTTCTTATTACAAGGTACAAATATAGTAGGCTTTCAATAATACTGTATTTGGATTATAAATTTGAGTAGAAATTTAAAAAGAGAAAGAAAAAATATGGTCGAAATATAGCTACATTTTACCTATTTTTTTCCTTTTTATTTTCAATTTCCTATGTAAATTTATTATTGAAACACGGCTTAAGAGATAGAAAGTGTATTGTAAATAAAAAGTTTGCACAAAATACCCATTTAGAACGATGTGTCAGTGATATTTGTAAAATTATTAGAATAATAATGGGTGTTTTAATTGAAAATGAAAGAAATATAAAAGCAACATCATTTTCTATGAAAATTCGGTATAAAATGTATATTTGTATATTATTCTTGATAAATACATGTAGAAACCATTACTTTGTATTTGAAAATTGAGAACGGAATGCATTTGTTTGTAACATTTTCCATTCTTAATAGAGACCTAGGATTGACTTATCTTTAATAATTTTATTTTATTTTTTTATTTTTTATTTTTTATTTTTTATTTTTTGGGTAGGAGTGACATGTGCAAAAATCCACTATAATAATTTTTATTTATCTTCTTTATTTCTTCCCACTTTTATAATTTTTTGAGCTAATGAATCCTAACTGGAGAATCCAATCCATTTTAATGGGCGATAGTTTAATTTATTTATTTTTTAAGTTCTTGGGAAGATCATAAATGAAATACCAAAAAAATGAATTGATTCACTAAAAATAATAATCACCTGATTTTATCATATTTAATAGTACTTATCATCAATTTTTTTAAAATAAATATGATAAAATCGTTTGATTATGACTACTATTGAATCAATTTTAGTTTATTCAAGCATGATCTACACAAATTAATAAAATAAACTGATAAAATCAGCAAGCAAAGTAAGTTCCTAGAGAGTGCATAGACCTGAACTAAACAATCTAATTTACTAGATATGTATTTCCCTTTATATTTCGTGTTCTTTAATTTTGTCAAATTTCTAGTCAATTGGAGATCCACAATTTTGTACAACTCTATTTTGGTAGAATAACTCTTAGGCCTCGTTTGGGAACATATTTTTTTAATAATTTTTTGATTTTTTAACTAAAATATGATTAAAAAAAACTAATATGTTTAATATGACTTTTTAGTTTTTTACGAAAAGATGTGCAAAAAATAGAAAGAAAATGAAATCTTTGACTTTTTGGTATAGGTTGTTGGCTTTTTGACTTTTTTAATAACTTTTAGACTTTTTAGCTAAAAAAGCCACTTGCCAAATGAGACCTTAATATTTGTATAGATAGAATAACTCTTAATTTTTTGTTGGTTTAAAATTGAAAAGCTTCAAAAAAAAAAAAGAAAAAAGAAAAAAAAAGAAAAAGAGAGAGAGTACGGCTCAATGTGAAGTTTAGTGAAATGTAATTTAAAAGTATTTATGATGTGTCAAAACAAAACCTTTTGCACCCAGTGTGGGAGTTGTTTGCTACCATATAAATTGATTGCAGATGATACTATATATTTATTTATGTATATTTATATATTATGCGTGAAGAAACTATTTGCCACTTAATTTTGGGTAAATAATGATGTTAGAGCTAAAAGTGTTGATTCCACAATAAATTTGACACTTGTGTATTTGAAATGATGAAAGGTCAAATAAAGTTGAAGTTTCGATTCATTTTGTTGCATTAGGGGATGCAACTTTAATTTTAATCATAATAATGTTATACAAACAAATTAATGATTCATTGTAGCTCATTTCGTCTCGTCCCACATGAAATTTTTCTCTTCTTGTTTCACGCTACTATCATTCTATCTTGATTATATTTATTAAATATATTTATATTTATAATATATAAAATTCATTTTATATTTTTAAGTCTCATCACTTATAAATTATTATCCATAATATATCATATCATCTCTCATTAATCCCCAACTTGCTCCCACCTAGACTCCATTATCTCCTCAATTTGCCCTGTCTCCAATATATATGTGCATAAGAATGGGGAACTACAACCGGTCTCTCTGCGCCCATTACCAACCTTAGGCCTCTCTCATTTCATAACAAAGATTAATTATTTGAGTTCATAATTTTTTTTTTTTAATGACACCGATACATTATTTGTAAAATATTTTAAAATTATTTCTTGGTTTATAAAATTTTCCTTTTGTTCATAATTATGGGATAAGTAGTGGTTGCACGCGTTCAAAATTGGAGGCTAAAAGTGTGGTGAGGGAAACAAAAAGCTAATTAATTTGCATGAGAGGATTGAGGAAAAAGTTGGAATATCTTAAGGCGATATCTTTTTTACTATTACATTTTCTTTTGGTAAAGATGTTAAAAGTAGTTTTTTTTACTTTTTTAGGTCATATCATCTTTCTATTTTTTTATATATGTTTTTTAGAAAAAGTTAAAAAAAAAAAAACTAAAAAATCAACTTTTAACTTATTTTCCAAAAAAATTTCCTTATTGCATAATAGAAATGCCAAATTTACAAGTTAAAGAAGATTGGGATGGATGTGTCCAAATGGGATTAACCCAATAATCAAAATGCAGTTTGGCTTTTGAATACGATCTCTTTCCCAAGCTTAATTATATTTGTACATTTTCCAAAAAAAAAAAACAAAAATTAAAATAAATTAGTGTACATAAAATATTCAACAATAAAAGTATCTTAATATCAAATAATAGGAACCCTGGGATAGAATTCATCCTTGAAAACTGGCTTGCAAGCGGAGAGTGTCCAAGAGACTTATATGCACATGGTCAAAGTCTACGTTAACCGACGTGGGATCATAACAAAGTTTCTATACACATATCATGCATTAAAAAAAATGTATTGAATTGATAATCATAATTTATCACATTTTCATGCAAAAATTAAATATATATATATAGATATATATTTTTTAAACCTACTTATTTGTCATTCATTTTTTTTCCACATACAAATGTGATGAATGAGATGTTTACCATTATCAGAGCAATTTTTATTTTATTTATTTATTTATTGTTGCATGATCTATAAGCTAAATTTTATAAAACAATTTCAATCATAAAAAATCTGGCCCACGGTGCTGAACTACACCATCTTGACTGTGGACTAGAGAAAAGCTCTCTTCCATACTTTATTTTCTATGTACGTTTCTCCGTATGTAGTTTTTTTCATTGTTTATTTTTTTCTTGATTACTTATCATTTGCAATCCCAATTTTTTTTTTTTTATAAATATTTTATATCTATCTAGTATAGATAAGTCTGAAGAGAAATACAACATATTAGACACCATATTAATTTATTTGAAAAAAATTGAAGAACTTCATTAGGAATAACATGTGAATCCTTGAAGACTGAACTGTTTAACTTCAACAATGAACCATGCACACGACCATTGAACCGCTAAATAAATACCATTGAACCATGTACACGACTATTGACCAAAGTTCCAATTCATATTTAAAATTAAAATATGTGGATAACGTTATATTAATAATAGACAAATAATACATTGTTTAAACTAATACAATAATAACACATAAATTGATAAACACAATATAGTGAGCAGATTTTCATACCGTCTCACGTGTCATTACTCTATTAGTTTAAAAGGCCTTATTATTAATGTATGTTACCAATGTAGTGGTAATATATGAAATGGTAAACACTATAGATATAAAATATTACTATTATAATTAATGTTCCAATTATCATATTTTTATATCATATCATAGTACTAGTGGGCAACAAAATATTATTGCTAAGCATTTTATCCCATATATAACTTTCATCTTTCGGTTAAAGATCTTGTTAATATGTGCTCATAGATGCAAGAAAAAAAAAATATAACATATTTTTTACTAAGTTAAAAATAATTTTTTATTGAATTTAAAGTTCTTTTAATCTATATTTTACCATTTTCAAATTATTTTTATACCAAGTGGAATATTACACGATAAGATTGGATTCCCTCCAATTACATATTTTAATTGATTTGTCTAGTCCGGCCTACTGTGGATCTATTTTGAGCCTATCTTCATAATTCAAACCATTTGTGTTGTAGGACCTCTTGAGAAAATCATGCATACCAAAAATTAAGTCAATCAGACTTTAGAAACTACTTGATCAGATTACATCTTTTTGAAAAATAACTAACGAACTACTTTCAATTGCAAAATTATTCTGTCCGTTAGTTATTTATTTATTTTTTTTAAAATGATCTGATTGAATGGCTTTCAATATTTGATTAATTTAATTTTTGATATACATAATTTTATTAAAGAATCTTATAAAATAAACTATTTAAATTATTAAGATATACTCAAAATGAGTCCATAATTAGCCGAACAAGACCGCCTCCAACTGAAGATAATCCACACTCCAACTGAAGATAATCCACACCCTTAAAGCATAGCCATTTGCCTTTTTCTATAATAATAATAATAAAAAAAGAACATAATAAAATGAAGAAAAATTCTGATTGGCGGCTATAAATCCAAAATATTATATAAAGAAGAGAGATATAAGTGATAAAAATACAGAAGCATGCGTCGAAGTGAGAATGAAAAGGAGAAGCAAAGATTAACGTGTCAGGGAGGCTCTCACAACTCACAACTCTCAACTCTCAACTCTCAACTCTTTTCTTGGAGTCAATAAATAAAACAATATATTTATTTTATTGATATATCCAAGAAGACACCATGTTCAAAATTGCACGAATTGCTATAGATAGATGATAATAGGCAGATAGTGGGGGAGTTAAAGTTTTCAATGAAGTATAAAAAGGGCATGTATTTCTTTTGATTATTCTATTCTTATCAAGCTAATCCTTCTCTTAAAAAAATTTAAATTTAAAAATGTTATTTATATCAAATTTTTTATATAAAATTTGTCGCGAGGTTGATATGACAATCATATTTATGTAATTATATAAATGTCATTTAAATAGACACTTTTGTTTAAAATAATAAGAAATTTCAATGTAACTATATCATTATGTGTGAAAATTATGTATACTTTATTTTGTATATCACACTGTTGTTTTAAATTTCAATTTTTTTACATGCATAGAGATTAATCACAAAACCAAACACAAATCTTTTTAAAACTCACCTTGAGAATTATATTGAGATAATAACTTATTCTATGATCAATTTCTGTATTCTTACATTTTTCTCTTATGCTGTGTGTTTGGTTGGGAAATTTGGAGAGGGATTTGGAAAGGGAAATCCGTCCCTTTTTCTTCTTTTACTTTTTCTTTTCGCTACACTTGGCAAATTTGAAGTCCTCTTCGTTGAGGCAAAAGAACCGTCAACACAATCGCTTGATAATTGGCTTGAATTTAATCTGTAAGGATTTTTCAATCCTTGCTGGCACGCTCGCATTTATGATATTTTCCTTCGTAGGAAAAATAAGCCAACAGAAACTATGTGAAATATAGGCATGATTTATTCACATTTCACCTACCTTTTCCATTTCCCTTTCCAAATTCCTTTCCAAATTCTCCAACCAAACACAGTATTAAAGTTTGAGTTTACTTGAATTTCTAAAAAGATTTTCTAGTCACAAAATTGCGTGCATTTCAGCAATTTCAATGGAAGAAATATGGGTGGTGGCACTATCACCACAACCATTGTCTAGCTCAGGAGTTTTGAGGTCTTGGAGGGACCAAAATTTTGTCTTATGGCTCCACTGGATTGGTTGTTGTTTTTCTTTTAATTATTTCATTTCTAATTTTTAATAAAAAAATAATTAACACTTTGGGTTGGTATTAAATTTCTAGTGATGAAATATTTCCATATGTATTTTTAAAGAATAATGCTATATGCAGTAATTAGTGTAGATACTAGTATACTAACAGATGATGTGGCATAATTTTAGAGATTTTGGGTATTTGTAATTTGCATAATAAATAAGATCATTAATGATATCATAACACTAGTTGTTATATTAGTGTGTACACTAATTAGTGCATGTAGCATTATCGATTTTTAAATTTAAAAGGTTTGAAATGTACATAATAGTTGAGAATGAAAATAAAAGTGACATTTCACTGTGTGTATTCAGTGATAAGCAAGTCTAACTGGAAATTTAAATCACATTTTTAGTCAATTTTAAATTTAAGTGATACATGATTAATATTCCCAAGTATGTTTGTTGATGTGTTTCTTTAGAATGAACAGCTTCGATTATTATAGCCCAAGTCTAATGGACCCACATAATTTTATGGGCCAGAGGGAAGTGGGTAGGCCCATTAAACAATGAAAGTGGGTCAAGCAAAGGAATTAAAGCCCAATCTCCATGGGCTTATCAAGAGACCTGCTTACACCCTTATAAGGTTGGAGGATCAAAAGTGTATTTTTTTCATTAAAAACATTTTCCTCTAATATCTCTAAAACGTTCTCACACCGGCACTTTCCATTTAATTTTCCAATGATAAGTGATGGGAGAACTATATTAAAACATAAGTTAAAATATAAAAGTGAAATTCGAATGAAAGTTGGAGAATAAAAAATGTAATTTATCAAACAAATTATTGTTAATCTTATAACATCATCTCATACCCAAATAAAAAACAAGTAAACAAATCTTGTAAGATCATTTGTGGAGTAGAGATATGATATAATATGGTTGCGTCCTAAGATTTTTTTTAATTGGAGATGTCTAACGCAAATTGTCTTACATGTGTTCAGTCTCCGTTTGGGAATTGGGTTGGTTTTTTGACTTTTTTGACTATTTTAGCCTGGGCTAAAAAGCTTGGCTTGGGAAGAATTTTTTGACTTTTTTGACTTTTTTTTTGTGAGAGAAGAGTGTAATAATTATGGGTTAGATATGATGTTTTGTTTTTTGTGACTAAAATATCATATTTTGTCTTTTATAGTTAAAATAGTCACTTTAGTTCTTCCCAAATACAGACATCATCTCTTTCAACTAATTTTTTTTTTAAAAAGAATGACAAGAAAAAGATCCACTAGTCCAAATCAAATGACAATCAATTGGTCATATCAAAGAAAAAAATTGATCATTGACGATGCAGTTTGACATGATGAAATTTTCTATGAAAATTCATATGTAGAATGATCATATGGTGGCTAATGTATATCTCCATTTATGTGTAAGATTTAGCCAAAAAATTGAAGACTCATGATAGCTTTTGGTTTAGCAATTTGGGACCTTGCTTCTTGACAATTTTCCTCATCTGCCAAAGCGCATATTTATGTTACACGATAATGTGCTTGCATATATTTTTTGAACTAATAATGTGCTTATATGAATACCACGCATTCTCTTCTGATAACTATTGACATGGATTAACTACAATTGGATTGGATCGAGGGTTGACCTAATGAATAAGGTCTTAAGTTTGACTCATTATTTTGCAATGCAATTTTCCTTTTCCTTTTCCTATTCCTTTGGCTATGGATTCTTGAGTCTTCAATTTCACTAGAATCTAAAACCAAAAAAAATTAAAAATACAAAAAAAAAATTAAAAATAAAAACAAATAAATTATAATAATATTAAGATAAATTGAACTTGGCCCGTATAAATGATGTTTACCGGCTGTAGCAGAATAACCATATGTATATAGATTAAATCACATTAAGCATAAATGGGAATCTAGTTTTTTTTGGCATGCCTAAACCCAAAAAATTGAAAATTAAAAAACAACAGTAATAAGATAAAAATAAAATTTTCAAAAATATAATTTGAGAGATTATGATGACAAGAACCTTCAAGGTCATATACTAAGCTATAATAAACCTTGTACAAATATTGCAGATGTAGAATCAAGGCCAATCTGTCACATATGTTTACAAAAACAAAAACAAAAACAAAAAAAACGGAAACCTCCCCACACCATGAGATTCCCTTTGACATTGAGAGCAGAGTAGTAGAAGAAGCCTGAAAGCAAAACCCATATATATATTTCAGTCACGAACAGTAGCGGCTCAAAATTTTTGGAGGTAATATCAAAATTAAGCCTTATCTAGCAATACCTTTGAAAAGTTGAGACTTTCAACAATAAGAACTTTTTGAAAAAGTTTTTTTTGCCTTAGACAATAGCCTAACTGGTCTAATGATTGAGTCACCTCCGGTTATGATCTCTCTATAAACTCTTGCTGCCAGGAAGGTCAATCCAATGCAGTGCCAATTCCACTTCACCACATTCCACATTTTTCAATCTTAGGCACATATTTTGCGAGATCTTGCCGTCTGTCGCCGTTATGCAACTTTCTTCCGCTAGGTAGTTTTGCCTTGATGGCAACACTCTTGCCACCACCGTCCCAGCTGGAAGGTCGCGCAAATTCATTCTCATTGCCTTTACAAATTCTTTTATGCCAAACTCCGCGTATCCCATTTTGTCGTCTTTGGTGAATGTGTCGTGGTCATACACGGTCTGCAATTTAGAGAAAGACGATGATCAAACTAATGTGGATGTTAATCAATGTAAAAAAGTAAGCAATCGACATACCAGCTTGATTGGAAGATCAGGATCTGAAATGGAGAGTGTTAAATCTTCATTCCATTCTGGATTGATATCCTTCCTTATAACATGAGTCTTTAGTTTCTGCAACAAATTGAATATATCAACATCCATGTAATATTTGAAAATTAGGTAACAAAAAGTATATACATTACAAAGAAAAAATATCACATAAAAACGATTTAAACATCCATATCAAAAACAATGCTATAACAACTTACATAATGCATGCAACTTCAATGACGGAAATAAAACACACACATATCATCAAATAATTTTAGCCATATGATCTTGTACATAACGATTTCATGGTCAAAATACATTCAAGAAGTTTCAAAAACCTGTTTGATGAAAAAAATAAAAACTAAAAATTGAAATTCGTCAAATCAAACTGAGTTTTTAAGATTAACAGCATTTGGGAAAAATCTTGATATAGGATAAGATTTTAAGAATTTTAATATTTTTAATTTTAATATTTTTGATATATTATTTTATTAGGACTTCTGTAATTTAGTATAAATATTTTAGAATTATTAGGTTTCTTAATTTTATTATTTTGGAATTAAACCAAAAATACAAAAATTCTTAAAATTTTATCCTACATCAAATCTATATCTTGATTTTTGAAAAAAATAAAATAAATGAATAATGACATAAATTAGAATCTCTATAAATGACTGCACATTTACTTACAGCAGCAAAACTCAACCCCATATAAAACATGTGTAATTAATTTTTCCCAAAATATAAAAAGAATCTAATTAAGCAAACTCCAAACCAACAAACCTACCAAAAAAGAAAAAGAAAATAATCCGCCCTTTACCACTGCCATAAATAAACCCTGAAGTTTCAAACTCTGGACCTCTCTAAAATGAATTATCTTCATAGCACATGTTCCCAATTTGTACTATATTCTGCCTTCCAATGAAATTTGCAAAACTGTGTGGCATTGATGGATTAATAAAAATTCTGGTTCCTCCCTTGGCGTCTCTTATGTCCAGTCTCTTATGGAGTTGTTTGTTTCAACTTTTCAAAGTTAACTTATGACTTTTAGTTTTGAAAAAAATTATTTTGGACTATTTGGTTAAACTTATTTCAAACAGCTTCTGATTCTAATAACTTATTTTAACTCAAAAAAATTGATTCTGATAAGCTGCTCACCCATTGCTTCTGATTATCAGCTTCTGCTGTGGATATGTTAATTTATGGTTATACTCTTAGATTTTTTTATTTTTTATTTTTTTAAAAATAGAAAAAGATCCAAATGGACTATAGATTATTATTATTATTTTTTATGAGAAATGTAGACAAACAAAAAATAAAAATTAATTGAAAAAATTATTTCACAGCTTATTTAACAAACATTACTCAGCAACTTAAATTTATAATCCAACAACTACACCAAACAGATTAACAACTTCTGATTAAAGTCATAATCTATAATCTGTTAAGTTATAATCTATAAGTTGTTTTAACAGCTACACCAAACGGGCACACACCAAGGACTAGTTAGATTATTCATAAGGTTCAACGTTCAAGCAAGTTTTGAATACCTTGATGTACAAATAACAGAACTGCTGAATTCATTTCAACCAGATAACTATATATACGATTTTCATGATTTTTCTTGCACGATCGTATAAATATAAGTATGAAACGGAAACCATAAAAAATTATTTGAACCATTCATTTATATAACACCCAATTCTGATACATCAAGAAACAGTTAAAAATAATCACACACATGAATACAATATTTACATAATTAATTCACCTTGAAACTTAGACTATTGCATGATCATAAAAGTTATAAGAGATATAAGATAGTCACCTCTCTCAACTATATATACATAGAAATTAAAACGACAAATCGCAAAATTACCAAAAAATACATTATAAGATTTCAAACTACCCAACAAAAATCTAGAAAACTCAATTACCAACAAAAAAAAAGCCCACAAAAAAAGAAAAGGACAAAACAGAAATCCGATATCACAGATGGGCGATGAGAAGTCAGAACAAAATGGCAAATTCCAAAATCAAATGCATGCAAATTTTTACCTGTTTACCCATCTTGACCACAACGTAAGGATCGCTGCTACGAACATCACGGACAGCGAGGTTGATACCGCGGTTGATCCGAATTCTGAGAAGACCCAATAAATTGTCCATATCTAAAAACACCTAAGGTGATATGATTCTCTTCCACTTAGTTTTTATTTATTTATTTATTTGGAGAGCAATCAAAACCACCCAAAATTATTAGATGGGATGAGTAGTCTCACGTGCTCCTAATCTCTCCCCCTTTCCCTTCTTTTATTTACTACCAAACAAACAATTCCCAAACATCAATTGACCAATCCAACCCAACCCAATCAAATTAAGGAATTGGTAAACAAAGATCAAAGAAGATTGATGACAAGGTAACAATCTCTTTGTGGGTCTCAATTTTTTCTTGGGTGCTAATTGATTGGGTTTTGGCAGTTGTTTGGTTGTGGGATTGGAGGACAGACTGGACAGCAGGGGAGAGAGACAGAGAGAGAGGACATTGGTGGTGTTGGAATATAACGGTAAACTTTTGGGGAGAGTTGGGGAAGCCGGGAGTTCCGGTAACAAGTCCGGAATTGAATGGCTGTGTGTCAATTGTGTGGACATTTTTTTGTTCTTAATTTTTTCTTTTTGTTAGGGAAAAAAAAAAGGTACACAAAAATAAAATAAAAAATTGTAAAAATTTTGTATTATTAAAATAATGAAAGAATATATTTTTTAATAGTTATAATCTACAAAGATGCATTGTTTGCATCATTTGAGTTTATAAACGAATATGAGATCAAGTCGGTAAAACAATTATTTTAAGCCCACAATTTTTTTTTAAAAATGGCACATTTTTTTTTTATGTCTATTAGATATAGTTCATGTCAAAAGTTTTAAGTCGTATGCAAATTTAAATTTCACAAATACCCCCCAAAAAAGAGATTCAAAACTTTTCATCTTGGCCAGGCTCATTCCCTTTTCTCTGACAATTCATTCATTCTAATTTTCTTTTGAGGGGGTAAGAGTGGAAGTGAATACGATGGAATAGTGTGTAGAGAAAAAAAATAATAATAAATAAATAAATAAAGTCAACATTGGAGAACTAACTTTGGTCATTCTAGTGTATAATAATCTAGAGAATATAAAAAAGGATAAAATAAAAGGATAATGTTAAGAATACTAAATTTTCTATCAAATAAATAATCATATAGGGTACCCATACCCATATGAGATATTTGATCATTCATTTAGTAGAAAATTTAGAACATATAGCATTTTTCAAAATGAAAGCATATGATCACATATGCAGAAAAACTTTCGTTAGCCATTATTACATGTGCACGAATAACACAAGGATAATAATCATAATAAAGATCATCACTCAAACAAAAATTTATAGAATTTAACTAGTCCATGCACACTAGTTCTAAAACAAAGGAGTCTAGATAGAAACAAACCAAGAACATATGAAATTACAAATAAAAAGTTTGCTAACACAGTTTGGCAAGTGAGTTTGGATAGGTTTGGGGCTATTTTAGTCATAAAAGACAAAATAAGCTATTTTAGCCACAACAAACAAAACAGCACATCCAACCCATAATCATTACACTCTTCTCTCACAAAAAAAGTCAAAAAAATCAAAAAACCCTTTCCAAACCAAGCTTTTTAGCCCAGGCTAAAAAAGTCAAAAAAGTCAAAAAGTCAACCCACTTCCCAAACGACACCTAACTTACATAATATTAAAAAATAAAATTTTGGAACAATCCTCAAATATCATATCACAATGAGCATCTGCCAAGTCATAACAAATAGAACAATACAATTTCAATTGAACATGAGACATTTAATTACTCATTACAGAATACTACATAAGTAAAGCAGCTTCATCAATCAGATGTTGATCTTCAAATATAAAGTGATAATGTAATGTAAAAGAAGTTTTAGCTAGAATCTAATCACGACTTTGATGGATATGTCAACCCATTCTTGCCAAACTTTTGCTCGGTGATCCGGTCCATCTCCTCTGCTATCTCAACTGTCAAATGATTCTTCCAGACTCCAATCTTTCCTTTCCTGAAGTATCTATTGTTATCCATCTCCACTGCGCTACCTGGACAATGCTTCCTAGTCTTGACATCCAAATTGCTCAAATTCTCAAAACTACGTAAGTTAACTATTTTCTCTGTTGTACCTTCCTTCTCTTCTTCAAATGAGAAAGAATAGCCTATGAACTCTGCCAGTTCCTTTACGTAATATGCGGTATCTCCCATCAGATCTTCAATTTCATAATAAACATTTTGTCAGGCCTCTCCAAGCTCGCTTTACAGCACCCTAAAACATTAGGATTGACTTAATAGATTAACGGAAGGAGCCATTTGTTATGTGATTGAAAACCTCATGAGGTAAGATATAATTTCGCAATTGTGAATTTTATTTATTTATTTTTTTTTTATATTTTTAATAAATCTCAGAGAGTGTTTCTGATATTTAACCAAATAATTACAAAGATGTGGTTTTTTTTTTTCTTTTCTTAATTTACAATTTAATTTTATACATATAGTTAGAAACATGTTTTTTTTTTCTTTTACCGTGTTCAATAAATAAATAAATAATGAAAATTTCTCGTTTACAGAAACTATAAGATTGATAATTGCTTTAACTGCTCAAATGAAATGAAAAATTTATCAAATGGATGTTAAATCTGCATTTTTAAATAGGTTTCTTGAAGAAGAGGTTTACATAGAACAACCCAACGGCTATGTGGTGAAAGGATGAGAAAATAAAGTCTTAAAATTGAAAAAGGCTCTATATGGCCTAAAACAAGAACCAAGGGTATGGAACAGTAGAATTGATAAATATTTTCAAGATAATAATTTTACTAAATGCCCTCATGAGCATGCCCTTTATACAAAAGTGGAGAATGGAGATATTTTGTTTGTTTGAATGATTTGATTTTCACCGGCAACAACCCAAGAATGTTTGAAGAATTCAAAGAGAGGATAGCCCGAGAATTTGAAATGACAAATATTGGGCTCATGTCATATTATCTTGGGATTGAAGTCAAGCAAATGGATGATGGAGTATTCATTTCTCAACAAGGCTATGCCAAAGAAGTTCTCAAGAAATTTAAAATGAGTGATTGCAAGCCAATCAGCACAGCCATGGAAAGCAAGTCAAGTTGTCAAGACATGATGATGGAGAAAAGGTGGACCCAACATTTTTCAAAATATTTAGTTGGAAGCTTGTGATATTTGACATGCACAAGGCCAGGCATACTCTTTGGAGTTGGATTTGAGAGTCGATTCATGGAGGAACCAACCATGACACACATGAAAATGGCCAAAGGTACACTTCGCTACATAAAAAGTACACTTGACTTTGGCTTATTCTATTCATCATCTAATAATTTTAAACTAGTTGGATATAGTGATTGTGATTGGGGTGGAGACTTGGATGATCGAAAGAGTACGACTAACTTCTTGCTCTCAATGGGAGACACAACGCTTAGTTGGATTTTGAAGAAGCAACCAATATCACATTTTCCACTTGTGAAGCTGAATATGTGGCTGCCTCATCATATGTTTTCTTTTAATTTGGCTTAGAAAACTTCTGAAGAAGCTCAATTTCATGCAAAAAGATGCAACAGAGATTTTTGTAGACAGCCAATCAACTCTGGCATTAGCTAAAAATCCAGTATTTCATGACCGTAGCAAGCACATTGACACAAGATATCACTTCATCAAAGAATGTATTGAAAAAAAAGAGGCTCAATTGACATATTTGTAAGGTCACATGATCAAATTGCCAACATTCTCACCAAACCTCTCAAGCATGAAATCTTTCACAAATTCAGGAATCTCCTTGGAGTTAAAAAATCAAGTTTAACGGGGATGTTGGATCATAAACTTGTTTTGGGCCAAAATAGTCCAAACGATAACAAATAGGCCCAAGCATGAAGGCCCATGAAAGTTCTAGAATATATATCTAGAAATATCTAAGAAAGTCTAAGCCAAAACATCTAGATATTTTGTATTGTAAAATCTAGAAATTAGCCACATGTTATAATCTAGAATGTTGTGACACCCCAAAACATATTTACTTAATTAATCTGTGAAAACAAAATGTAATTATAACATTAATCTATGGGAAAATGAGGGAATTGGTGCAAATTGTTTCAAGAAACCTCGTGAATGGCATGGTAAGCCATGTGGTGAAACCACGTGATTGCACAGTGCTGCATAGTGTAGCATAGTGCTGCATAGTAAGAGTTCTCTCACCTATAAATAGATGAGTTGCATGGTAATGAAATCACAAAAATAACAAACGAGGGGTATATGAGAGAGTGAGCCGAAGTCAGAAGTGAGAGTAAATGATCATATTTGAGGTGCGTTTTATTATATTTTGAGCTACCATAAATTATTTTTTATAAAATCTGTTTTGCAAATTATATTAGTTTTTAGAGTATATTATTTGTTAAATAAACCCTATTTGCTTACCAAGGGAAACTCATGAATATAACTATTTATTAAATGTGTTTTGCACAATTATCTTGTAAGTACCAGCACAGATGTCTCATGCCTTAGGGGACTCAAATAACCATTGGCTCTCTGTATTGTCACTTTAAGTGACCCTCTATTGTCATAGATCCATTGACCCTCTGATTTCTTGTGTGGAGCAAAATGCTGTGCAGAGCTAAGTTCTACACTATTGTGGGAGCCACCTCTAGAATTCGTACCAGCTACCTCTTGAATCCATACATCTATTCTGTTCTGTTCTCTGGTATGGAGTAAAGTATTGTACAGAGCTAAGTGCTACACTATTGTGGGAGCTACCTCTAGAATTTGTACAAGCCACCTCTTGAGTCCATACACTTGTTCTATTCTGTACTGTGGTTATGATTATTTGCTTATATGATTTCTACGTTATGCTTCTATTATTTCAAATGCTTTATGTATTTTTGTTATCGAACAAATATCTATTTAGCTCAAATAATTATCCATGGTGAATTTTATACCCTGATACTCTTAGTATAATATTTCTCACTCTGCCATGTACTTATAGTTGTTAACCACTTTAAGATGACGTGTCAGGACCAGTGCGAGGAGTAGGCACAAAGCACTTTGTAGTCTTAGTACAACTCTAGTATGTAATTAAATAGAAACTGCAATGTATATGTTTTTGTTATAATTAAATTAAGATTTGGGTACCTTTTTATTTTACTCTACTACACTATTAATTTGTTATGATTTTAGTTATTGTCTTATTGCGATGCCAAACCTCTGGTACTTGGTTTGGGTCGTTACAAATGTACTTAAGAAAATATCTTGTAATAAATATTTTAAGTCTAGAATAAATATGGCTGATGCATAGCCATTTTGTAAGCCAAAAATTTTGAAAACCAAGTTCAATACAAGAAGTGTTTAGTTACCTCTTATCTCTTTTACCTTTTTCCTTTTCCTAAGTTTTATTTACCCAAATAAAAAACCTTTTATTTCCAACACATACATCTATTTCCAACACACACAAATAATAGAGAGAAAGAGAAAGCTTATGTTTTCTTGCTTGATTTTCTTGACATGGTTGAGTAAAGCGCCATCAAGACTAAACTCTTTCATGATCCAACGAAACGACCATGATTTGCTGATCTTCTCTTCTCGTAAACAAAGCTTTTCATACCGCCAATAAGAACTCCTTCCTCAATATGAATAGGTTGGGCCTTGTCAACACCGCTCCATGTACCACCCTTCCCCATCGTATAAGCAAAATGGTTTTCGAATTTCTGATTCTTGCATTTTTTCTTCTTCAAGGTAGTATAATAATAGTAGTAGAATATGTCTTTTTTCCAGTTCGATCCCCAAACTAGGTCCCATGGCTCTTCGTCTCCGTAGAGGTCACACTGAGACGAGACGTTCATATGGCATTGGTTTTTCCATGGCCTTTTTGTAGAGATAATAGAACACTAACTCTTCACCAGTGGGATGAAACTTATGCCCTACAAAATCAAACATAGTTTCTGATGAGGACACTGTTCCACATCGCCTGGAAGGGACTCCCACTTCCACCTTATAAGCGTACTGGTCCCATCCATTTTGTACTAGGCCTTTTCTCCTAAGAAGAAACAAAATCGTGAGGTTTCGGCCAAAGTAGACAATATCTGCAGGGGCATGAGAGGCTAGGCATGCGAATTTGGCGCTAGAATAAGGGCGGTCCAGCAAACTCTCCCACTGTTTATGGCCCAGTCTACTGAGGGGCTATGATGAGGACACTGTCCCACATCGCTTGAGAGGGACTCCCACTTCCACCTTATAAGCGTACTGGTCTAAATTTGTATACCTAGCCTCTCATGCCCCTACAGATATTGTCCGCTTTGACCGGAGCCTCACGATTTTGTTCCTCCTCGAGGGAAAAGGCCTCGTACAAGGGTTGCTGGAATAACTTAGTGGCTAGAACCCATGCAGATACTGTCCGTTTTGGGGTTGAGGGAGATGGTCCCCCCCCTTACGGTTTTGAAGGCCTCGTACGGAGGTTGTTGGAATAGCTCAGTGGCTAGAACCCGTGTAGATATTGTCTGCTTTGGAGTTGAAGGAGCTAGTCCCCCCTCACGGTTTTGAAGGCCTCGTATAAGGTGAAGGGGACCAGTGCACTTATAAGATGGAAGTGGGAGTCCCTCACAAGCAATGTGGAACAGTGTCCTCATCATAGCCCCCCAGGGACTAGGCCGCGAACAATGGAATATCAAAGCAGATCTGACCTTAACTCTAGTGCCAGATTCAGGTGCCTGGCCCCTCACGCCCCTACAGATATTGTCCGCTTTGGCCAGAGCCTCACAATTTTGTTCCTCATTGGGAGAAAAGGCCTTGTGCAGGGGTTGCTAGAATAGTTCACTGGCTAGAACCCGTGTAGATACTGTTCACTTTGGGGTTGAGCGAGCTAGTCCCCTCCTCACGGTTTTGAAGGCCTCGTATAGGGGTTGCTGGAATAGCTCAATGGCTAGAACTCGTGTAGATACTGTCTGCTTTGGGGTTGAGGGAGCTGGTCCCTTCCTTACGGTTTTGAAGGCTTCATACAAGGTAGAGAGGACATGTACGCTTATAAGGTAGAAGTGGGAGTCCCTCCCAGGCGATGTGGAACAGTGTCCTCGCCATTTTTTATTCTTTGATCAACACGATTTATATTCAATTATTGCTAGTGTTATGACCATATAGGCTGCTGTAAAGAGCTTATTAATAATAGATAGAATTCTTAATCTACTATATGACTTTGTAACTTTGTTTAATTAATAATTCTTGAAATTAATACAAGATAAGTTATCCAATAAGATTCATGAGATAAATTATTTGCTCATGTCATGTTTGTTTTGCAATTGGTATGGAAATGTATGATCTCAATTATATATTTGTTTTGCATGGTTAGTGGCAGGATTAAAAAATTCATTAATTTTATTAGATAGAATGTTCATTGAAATTTAATCTGAATAACAAAAATTGTAACCAAACAAGGAAATATGAGTTGCATAAATTAATAATCTCAATCCTATACTACAATCCACTAAATCAAAAGGTAATGAGAGTAGAATTCTTGTAGAATCACGTTTCATATTCTTATTTTCCTCCTCTCGACACCTCGTGCAAATGGGCCAAACTTATGAGACTTTGATCTTAGGGCAAATTATACCGTTAGTCCGTATGCTTTAACCTTTATGTTATTTTGGTCTTTGTAATTTCAATTTGCAAAATTTTGACCTTGAATTTTTGACTTTGTCTCAAATTAGTCCAATTGATTTCAATTGTTAGCATTTTTATGACAAATGCACACATAAGCAGCATGTGTATTGCTTGTAAGGGCAAAATTATAAATTTGATCAATTCATTGACTTAACTTCAACTAACTCAGCGATCATTTTCTGTCAAAAAACCTAACAAATTTATCAATTGGATCAAATTGACACAAAATCTAAAATTAAGGGTCAAAATTGACCAAATTAAAAGTGTAAGGACCAAAATAACATAAGCGGCAAAATATAAGAACTATTGGTATAATTTACCGTTGATCTTAATATTATATACCTTAATTTCGCCAAACTATATAAATCAAGGAAAAATAAAAATAAAAAATAATTTTACACTTCTAAACCAGAACCCCCTAGTCTATCTAAAAAAAATAAATCAGAACCCCCTAAAATACATATATGTGCCTTAAATACAAATTACTCTTTATGGTGTAGAAAATTATAAATGCCCCTTGTCAAAAATTCTATTTGTATGCCCGTACTTATTTTAGTACGCACCACTTCTCAGTTTATACCCCACATAATTTGAAATTTTTGATTTTTTTCTCAATCCATACCATTAATTTTTATAAGTTGAGTTCTCTCAAACTTAAATTTGGATTTAAGAGAAGTTGAGGAGATCATAATGATCGCCACAAGTCACGTTTCGATAATTCAAACCGTTCATTTTATAAAATTATCCATGCTTATCATTTATGAAAAACAATTTGGTTAATTCAATAATTGCAACATTTTTATTGTGTCTCCAAAAAAATAGATAGTCTATTTTCAAACTATACTTGTAGTCTACTTTTAGACAAATACAATAAAATAAAAATATTCAGTGTGTTTGGTTTGAGTTTTCTGAATTAAGTTTTTTGAAAATTGAATTTTTTGGTTTTCGTGTTTTTTTGTTTTTAGTGAATATTTTTAAAATTTTAAACATTTTTTTAATTTTTTTAAATGCACCTTACTTAGATGTATCTAAAAAGTAAAAAATTTGTGAAAAAATATTTTAAAAAATTAATAAATACATAAAAATACAAAAAATGTACTAAATTCTTGTAATTTTTTTTGTATTTTTGATATTTAGTGAATTTTTAAAAGATTTTTTTTACAATTTTTTTACTTTTTAGGTATATTTATGTTAGGTGTGTCTAAAAAGTAAAAAAATTGCTTAAAATATTAAAAAAATTCAATAAAAATAAAAAAATACGAAAAATAAGAAAGTAGAATTTTCTGAAAAGTGCTTTTTGAAAAATAAAAACAAGCAATTATCGAATCAATCTAATTTTTACATGGATGATATACACCAATGGCCCTATAAAATGATCGTTTTGGATCATAAAAATGGAACTGGAAGTGAGGCCACGGGCCTCTCGAGTTCTTGACAGAAGTTGAACCTAATTTGTAAATAATACAAAAATATCTTCCATCTTGTCTAACTCTTTCAAACTTAACCCTAACTACCACCACCAGTGGCCACATCCCCTTTTCCTTGCTTCCGATCACCACCTTTGCCTCCGATCACCACTTTCTTTTCTCCTATTGCAACCTTCTCCTCAGTCCTTCCCCCACCCCATTCTATTGCCCTTCTTCAGTTCCTCACCCACCCTCACTTTGTCACCCTCCCCCTCCATTTGCAATCATTCCTTCCCTAATACGACACCCCACTTTATTTTCTTTCATCTGCCTCTCCCTCCTTAATTTTCAAAGCCTAAATATTATTTTTAATAAGTCTACTTCATCTGCCTCACATTGATAGTTCCTTTTAAAAATTTAATTTTTTTAAGAAAACATAATCATTACACTTTGAATTTAAATTTTATAGGTATAATTTCAAAAATACCCTTCTATTCTTATCTATTACATAAGGAAAATGGTCTTTTTAATCCACAAACCTTGTGGGAGTTCCATTATTCTAATCCTAATTTCTTAATTTTTTTATTTAAAAAAAAAAAACATTTTCCGTATTATCCTAAACCCTATTACCCATTACTACCTACTAACAGCACACAGCAATCTAAAGAAAAAATTTGGACGAAAGAGAGAGAGAGAGAGTTCACATAAAGTAAGACAGAATCTTGGAGCCTTCCTATCACAGCGCCAGCAGCTTTGAGACAGAATTTTGAAAGAAAAACATTTCAAAATCTGTGAGTAAATCATTTATTTTTTAATATAGTGATTATATTTTTAAATTGATTAAGAATGATTGTATTCATTAGGTTCACATAAAATATTAATTATTGATGATGATTAGATTGTATTTTGTGATTATGATTAAAACTTTGTTTATTTTTCAATATTTTATTTTTAATATATGTTTTTTGGAAAAAAAAATTAGATTGTATTCATTAGGTTCACATAAAATACTCACTATTGATGATAATAATTAGATTATTTTTTGTAATTGGATTTTTTAACTCACTGTATTTTTCAAAAAAAAAAGAATGGTTGTGCTTAATTTGTGATTGGGTTTTTAACTCACAATGCTTTTTGATAAAAAAAAAATAATAATTGTATTTTTTAATTATCAGGTGACTTCATTGCTTTTTTTTTTTTAATGAGGAAAAATGTGATTGTGTTTTTTTACACTCCATTTTGATCACACGGCGATTTTATTTTTTAAAATGATTATGTTTTTTTGTACTCCATTTAATATTTGTTTTTTTGAAAAAAATAGATTTTATTTATGTTTTTTGAATACAATCACACGATGATTGTAGTTTTAGTCTTTGTTTTTTGAAAAAAAAAAAGGGGATCGTTTTTATTAGATTCACATAACGTAGTCACTGTATTTTTTTTTTATAAAAAACGTTGTGCTTTTTAACTATCAATTAACTTAATTTGTATGTTTTTTTTTTCAAAAAAATAATTTTATTTTTTAATTACCAATTGATTTCATTGTTTTTCAATACGGTGATTGTATTTTTACACTATGTTTGATTGATGATTGGATTGTATTTTGTGATTGTGATTGAACT